GTTAAATTAAATAAATAATTTAAAAAAAATCAGCATAAAGCAGAATACTTAGGATTACAAGAACAATTACTATCAAAACATATAAAAGCTGGATGTGGTAGTGGCCCATACCTATAATCCTACCATTTGGGAGGCTGAGGCAGGCAGACTGCAAGTTGAAGCCCACTATTGGCAATTTAATGACTTAGCAAGACCCTATCTTAAAATGACAAAACATACCTGGGGATGTCACTCAGGATAAAGGACCTGGGCTCAATCCCTTGTACCAGGAATATAAAAAAGAATTTTAAGGGCCAGCAAGATAATTCAGGGGACTAAGCGCCTGCTTAGGCAAGCACAGGGATGGGTTTGATCCCAAGCATCATATGCCGTGCCAGGCCTATCCCTGGGCATGCTGAGCCAGCCACCAAGACCGTAATCCCTGCACTGGGGAGGCTGAAACCAGGAGGATCACTACGAGTCAGAGCTGCATAGGAAGACCCTGTACCAAATGCATTAAATAATAATAACAATAATAACAACAACAGATACCAACTTGGACTGTATAGCAAGACCTTATGTCAAAAATCGTTAGCCAGGTGTGGTGGCACATTCCTGCAATCTCAGCATTTGAGAGGCTGAGGCAGGAAGATTGTGCAAGTTTGGGATCAGCCTGTGCTACAAAAGCAGCTCAAGGTCAACCTGACCTGCATAGCAAGACCTGTCTCATTTGTGAATAGACTGAATCTGTAACATTCCCCACACTTCTCCAGCTTTGCCCCTATACCTTGTGCTGTGTCCCTGTAACAATCCCTGCTGCATATTCCTTTTTTTTTTTTAAACAAATACTTTATTTATTTAGTGTGTGTGTGGCCAGTTCAGCCCACCAGGGGGCGGGGCTGGCTGGCATGTGGTGCTGGGGGATTGAACCGTGGCCCCTGTGTTTTGCTTAGCTCAGCTTGTTCTAAGTAAGTGCTTTAGACCACTGAGCCATCTCACGAGCCCTGCATCTTCCTTTTAACGCTGTTGCCTCTTCCTACAATAGTCTTGCTGGGACCCTCTAAGGAAGCCCCATAACCTCTAACAGCCTGTACCACACTGTTTGGTGGATACGGGTCTATCTCCACCACCCTGGTTTCATCAAATGCTTATCCTGAGCGGGCACAGAGGCACACCAGAGACTCCAAGCTGCCCTTCATTCCCCAACTTGAAAGCCTATGAGGAGAAGACAGTAACAGCTCCTCACCACTCCCTTCCCTACAAGGACTGGGGGCCTAGTAACCACATCAGTCCCCTCATTCTGTGCCTCAGCTCCTGAAAAGGCCAGACAGTTAAGGGCAAAAAAGTTTTATGAACATAAAAGTTCTATATATTTGTGTAAAAATTGCAAATGCCGCAAGTCCTTAAGTGAAAGGGAGAGGTGCCATCTTCCTGGCATGTTTTTGTCTTGCTTTTCATTGGTAGCCACCGCTGTTTTCTTTGTCTGGAGTCTCCTGCCCCCTTGAAGGAAGCAGCTCACTCCTTGATGCCAAGCATGAGGGTGGGATGGGATCATCAGAGCTGGCCAAAGCCCCAGAGGATGTAGTCTTCCAATCTCTACAGATGCAAATATTCTAAATAGTATTCTGGAAATCGCACCTTTTTTCACCTTATAGTAATAAATTCCAATGAAATTAGAGAAATATATTTAGAATGATGATCAGCACAGTTTATTATTGTTTTAAGTCTCACAGGCACCTTATGCAGTATACATAGATACCTTTTAATAAACTCCCCAGAGGGCTGGGGAGATAGCTTGGTGGTCTAAGTGCCTGCCTGAAGCACAAGGACCCAGGTTCGATCCCTGGTACCTCATGCCCAGGACAGCCCTGGGGTTCTAGATGCATCGTGCCAGATACCAAAACTGGTTGTGATGGTGCATGCTTGTAATACCAGTGCTGGGGAGGCTGAGACAGGAGTATCACTATGAGCCCAAGCTGCACAGCGAGACCATGTACCAAACAAAGAAAGAAAAAAAGTCCCCAAAGGAAAGCCCTTGTAGGAACTCTATCCTCAGGAATGAGGTGAAAGGGAACTCCCTTGAAGTAGAAGTGACTGATAACCAGGAATCATGGTGCGTGTCTGTAATCCTAGCACTCAGGAGACCGAGGCAGGGTGATCACCAGTTAGAGGCCCGCCTGGGTTACAGTGAGTTCAAGGTCAGTCTGAAGTGCATACTGAGACCCTGTCTCAAAAAAGGTTAAAAAAAAAAAAAGCTTGGTGTGGTGATGCTTGCCTGTAATCTCAGCATTCTCTTACTACTGCAGGATTGTTGCAGGTTCAAGACCAGCCTGGGCTACAAACTGAGCTCAAGGCCAGCCTGAACTGCATAGCGAGACTCTGTCTCAAAAAGACAACAACAAAAAAAAGTAGAGAAAAGCAGAAGTCGCTGATCTTATAGAAACCCGGTGGTAGGGCCAGGGAGATGAATCAATAGAAGAATAAGCGCTTGCCTGGCAAGAGCAAGGGCCTGAGTTCAATCCCCGGTTCCACAAAAAAAAAAAAAAAAAGAAAGAAAAAGAAAAAGAAAGAACCCAGTGGAAAAAGCATGCTGATGTTGAGAGGGAGGCCAGTGAAGCACCCTGTCCCCCCTTTGCTAAATGCTGATTGGTGGCATCCAATCATTTCAGCTAGGGATAGGGCATGGGTCAGGGATGAGGGAGGTCTGCCCAATACTTGGTCCGTGCCAGGGATTCCTTAAGGCTGCCAGCCAAGGCCTCTCCTGCCTACCAGACCTCCCTGGTAGGTGGGGGAGGTGCTGCTCGGCCTGATGCTGATCTCTCCTGACAGCTGCTCCTAAGGCTGGCAGGACAGCGGGCAGCAGGGGTGGAGGTGGTGTGTGTGCGACTAGATTTAAAGATTCACTTGCCACGCCCCTTGCCAGACCTGGGCAAGCCTGCATGGGTGAGCATCCTCCAAAGACATGACTGTCAGGCATACAAGAGACCAAGGACCCCGCTACTTCTTGATACCAGGAACACCACTGGTCTTCACGTCTGCTTCTATCCCACAGGCTGCCTGGGAGACTAGTGCCCGCAACCATGCGATTTAGACGCCTGACCCCCGGCTACTTCCGGGTACTACAGGTAAGTACTCCCAACTGCTATGATTCCTAGCATGACCGACCTCTTCTCCCCTTACCTTGGCTGGACTGACACCCCCAACAGCCAAGCTGTCACGTTCACTGCCGCCTGACTAGCCAGGGCCCAGATGGGCAGTGAAGCGAGAGGGATTGGGGTGGAATCTCCCTGGGGCAACAATGGCGTCCCTATCTCCCTTACCCAGCTGTACCTTCTGAGCTCCTGGCTGCCTAAAAGTCTCAACTAGCCCCTCAGATGTAACCTCCGTGCCTCCCCCCGCCCCACTAGATGCAGGTGGCTGGGAAGCTGAAGGCAGAGCCGCGGAGCCCACTGGCTGGGGTCATGGCTACACTGCTGGCTGTCCTTGGGCTGGGCGGTTCCTGCTACGCTGTGTGGAAGATGGTGGGGCAGCCGCCGCCATCACAGGCCCCATGAGGGAGCCGACAGCCTCTCATTTGGGCCCTGAAGGTAGGTGACTCAGGAGGTGGCTGCAACCTCAGAAAGTCATCTTTTTCCTGGAGATCAGCCCCTGCCCTTATTTGAAGCAGGACAGAATAAACAATCCTGCTTTCCCACTTCACACTGCACCTGGGCTCTGGCTCAAGGGCTAAGTCCCAGGAAAGAAGGCCAGAAATTAGGTTCCAAAGGTGGGTCTGGTAGAGAGTGGACATCCTGGACTCCGGACACAGAAAGTAGCAGAGAAACCCATGGCAGGGTTTTGTGGCTAAGATCTAGAAGTTAAAATCTAGTTCCTTTATTGTGGGGAGGGCACCCAGCTGAGGTTATCCCGTATCCCGATTCACGAAACCCAGGGCCCCAAATAGTTTTGTACACTCACTCCCAACCTAGTCTTTGTACCACTGTCATAGGCAGCTCCTTTGCCTGTATACTAAGGCCATGTCAGATAGACGTGTCCATCTCGGGGACTTCAGTGGACACTTCCGTGGGCACTGGCAATCGCTGCGGGGGCACATAGGAGCCCATGCCGGCTGCCCTCTCCGCCTCTTCCTGACTGTAGGGTTCGACGGTCAACTGCTTCAGCCTGGGAGAAAGAACAGGAGTTGGGAGCTGAACGCGTACAAGCCCTGAGTGCCAAACACCCATTCATCAGTCCTCTCCTTACTCCATACCTTTTCTTGTGGTCTTTGGATCGGAAGTGGGTCTTCAGATTGGCGGAATCGACGAAGTACCTCCTGCAAGGACGGGGGTGTGAGAAGAGAGAAGAGGTGATGCCTCTCAGGTACGCCTATCGTTCCCAAGACTGCCGACCTAAAGAGATGCGAGGTGGGCTGACCCACGGGTACCAAAAATGGAGCCCTCACAACTTCCGCTGTGCAGACCCTCCTCCGCCCCGGGCTGGGCTCCGCCGGGACTCACGCGCAGGCTAGACAGCGATGCAGGCCCCCTCCCGGCAGGTCAGGGTCCGGCTCAGCATTCGGGTCAGGCTCGGTCCGTTTGGGACCCTGCGGCCGCAGCTGCCGGTGAATCTCATCCAGGTCCGGCCGCCGCCGCTTGGCCTTCAGCTGGCGGCCTAAGGAGTGAGCTCGGTGCGCGCCTGTGCGGCGGGAGCGACCCATGGCCAGTGACAGCAGGGAGTAGAGGCCGGGAGCAGGGGGGGGGGATACACGTGTTTGGCGCTTCCGCGACGCTCAATGACGCCGGAGACGTCCGGGGGCGGAGCAGGATCAACCCGACCGCCTCTGATGACGTCACCGCAAGGCCCGCTGCTTGAGCGCCCCCATGCGGCCATGGATGTTAGTGACGGGGCTCCGGGAGCAGCCGGAGGAAGCTCGCTCACAGCTGGGGCGAGGCGGGGCAGGGAGTGCAGCGTGTGCCCGGGAGGCGTGGTGCTGGTCGTGCACTTCTGCCCGCCACCGGCTGGCCCTGACCTTCCTTTCTAATTTTCACATCTTGAGAATCCGTGGTGGGAATGAGATGCTGTAACCACCTCTCCACGGCACAGATAGGAATACATTAATAAATTATTTGAGTAAATTTAGGATCCTGACTCCAGCAGAGCTTCGTGTGATACTTACAGTCCTTGATGAAGTCTTTACCTTTTCTCACAATTCCCATTATTCATTCCTTTGAGTCTCTTTCCTCCATCTGCTCCCAAATCCAGGGGGAGGGAATTTCCTTCTCAGAAGTCCCAGCATTCTGGCGCCCTGTCAGGTAAGAGGACTTGGCTCCCTTGGTAAGAAGCAGTGCCCTAAAGCCGGGAGTGGTGGTGACCTGTAATCCCAGCATTCGGGAGCCTGAGGCAGGAAGATTGCAGCGAGTTCAAGACCTGCCTGGGCTATAGCGAGATCAAGTGCAACCTGAACTTCATAGTCAGATCGTTTGCAACAAAACAGAGGTACCCCAAAAGTAGTTTTATTTTTGCTTCCAGAAAGGAGCCTGGAAAAGACCTGGAGGGGAGAAAGTGAACATGGCCTCCGAGAGGAGGGCGGGCAGTAAGGGCCTCTGTGTTGTATGCTTAGTTCACAGAGGGCCTGGGGCCTCCCAGGCAGGCCAGAGTCAGTTCCACTGGACTGGGCCAGAAGAGCTCAGCAATAATTCAGAGGCTCCTGCTCTTTGGAACCTGTTGCCAGGGAACAGGGAGGCAGGCACGTGCATCCCCTGGGAGAGGACTAAGTTCTAGGGCAGACAAAACAGTGAAATGTAAACCCAGGGGGCTGACCAGGGGTTTTCCCACTCCAGGTTGTAGAGCTTGAGAGGACATAGGCTAGGGCCCTGCCCAGTGCATGGCCAAAGTGGCTGTAGCCACAGAGGTTGCCAGTGTGGGTCCTAACCCAAGAATTTAGTGAATGCAAGATTTCTCTGGAGCCATTTTAAATTTATTTATTTATTTATTTATTTATTTATTTATTTTGTGTGTGTGTGTGTGTGTGGCCAGCTCAGCTCACCAGGGGGCAGGGCTGTCTGGCAAGTGGTGCTGGGGGATTGAACCGAGGTCCCTGTGCTTTGCTTGGCTTAGCTTGTTCTAAGTAGGTGCGTTAGACCACTGAGCCATCTCACCAGCCCCTCTCTGGAGCCATTGGAAGAGCTGCAAACCTAAGTATTCCTAGTCCCAGGAAGGTAGCCGCTCCAGAGAGATGTCTCCATTGTTCTTGGCCAATATAGGTCAAGACGAAGGAAGATGAGGGATGGAGGATGGGGCTGGCCCCCACCTCAGGCTCCTTTGGATCAGGTTTACCTGCTAGGCACTGTGCTATCTGGGGAAGTTGGTGCATCTTTAATGAAGTCACCGGATACCTGGGACAAGCTTTTGGCTCCACCAAGTTCCTGAAGCCAGACCTACTGGTGCCCACCAAGTCACCAACTTCTGTGCCTGGGTACCAGGCCTCTCTCTCCTTCAACCATGAGCCAGGCCTTCTGGAAAACCTACAAGTCCAAAGTGCTACAGACCCTGAGTGGGGAATCTGAGGAGGACCTGGCAGAGGAGGTGGGTACGCTCTATTGCCTGCAAGGCTGGGCTTGGGCAGAGGGAGAACAGGAGAGGTACAAAGGGGCCAGGGCCAGGCTCTGAGACACAAAGAGGCACATTTGGCAGAAGCCTTGCACAGTCAAGGATTGCAAACAGCAGGATGCAGTATCTGAAAACCACAATGTTTGAAAAAACAGAAGGAGGAAAAGAGTGACCACTGAGAGGTTCTGAGAGAAGTGACTGCTGTCTTTGTGGATCTCATGGGCTGCCACATGGAACGATTCTTCTAGGACCAGTGGGCAGTAGACATATGGGGTACATTTAGCTGGGGTACACTTAGCTGGACCAACTTTCTTATGCCACAGCTGAGCCGTGTGAGATGGCTTGCTTGAGAGGTAGTGAGCTCCCTGTTTCTGGAGGTAGAGAAGGGGAACCTCATACACTGAGGGTCATTGTAGTGGCTTCAGGTGAAGCTATATTTAGACCATGCTTTACTCTGATTTTTTAAAATTTATGTATTTATTTGGTACAGGGTCTCGCTATGCAGCTCTGACTCGTAGTGATCCTCCTATTTCAGCCTCCCCAGTGCTAGGATTACAGGCATGTGCTACCACACCCAGTTTCAGTGGCCAGGTCAGCGGGCCCAGCTCAAGGCTGGCATGGCATGGTACCGGGGATCAAACCTGGGTCCTTGCACTTGCCAGGCAGACTCTTAGACCACTGAGCTATCTACCCAGCCCTTTACACTGATTTTTAAGCAATTAAACAAACAAATAGGAGTAGTGGCATGTGTGTGCCTGTGGTCCCAGCTGCTTGGGAAATTCAGGTGAGAGGATTGCTTGAGACCAGAATTTTAAGACCAGTCTGGACAACATAGTGAGACGTCATCTCAAAGAGAAATTAAAAAAGGCTCTGAAACTATGGACAGTCTATGTCTAGAGGCTGTGATAAACAGCAGTCATGCAATTAGATATGTCAGGGACAAGAACTAGTCCTCTGTGTGGTGGTGACGATGAATTAAGTAGACGTCTAAATAGGTTGGTGTCCAAAGTGGGGCTGGAGTAGAAATGTCTGTGTGGTTGGCATCTCTGTGGAATCCTCAGAGAAGGTAGATGTGCAGGTGTGAATGGAATCTAGGCATTTTCAGGGACAAACATTTTTTGGGGGGTGAGGGAGTTCAGCTAGCCCTGGGGGCTGGACTGGCAGGCATGTGGTGCTGAGTATTGAACCGTGGTCCCTGCACTTGCCTAAGCAGGTGTTTTAGACCGCTGAGCTATCTCACCGGCCTGGGGTGCAAACATTTTGGGTAGAAATCTGCCTGCATCCCCTGGGCAGGCATTTGCAGGTGTCATTTGTATGGTGTGTGTTTCTGGGTGTCTGTAAATGGGTGCAGAGGATTTGGGTGCCACGGATGGGCCTCTGTGCAGCTATGTGCAGTTGTATAAGGGCATAGGTTAGTATATAACTGCATGTGCGTCCTTTATGGGGGCTCTCTACACATACATCTCTGCATAGTGAAGATCTGTGGCCACGTGGAGGGCTGCTCGTGTATGTGTGCCTGTGTCAGAGGGGCAGTCCTTGTCCACAAGTTTTGGATGTGTCTGTGGGTAGGCAGGTTTGTGTGCTGTGGGGTCCTGCAGGGATTTCCTCTGCAGGTCTGTATATGTGAGTGATGGCTGTGTGCAGAGGCACATCTGTGTGCATGTGCTTTGTGGGTGTGAGACATTCCGGTGTGTGCTTATTTGATGGGACTTGGGATACCTGGTCTGTGTGGATCTGCTTAGCAGTGGGACAGGGAGGTCTCACTTCATATCTCTGGGGCCTTTCTCACATGGGCTGGCCATCTTGTGTCCCAGAGGGAGAACCCAGCCTTAGCAGCATCTGAGACAGCAGAACCCACTGAAGAGGCCTTCAATCCCATGTCACAGCTGGCCCGCAGGGTGAGTTCCTTTGCTTTTTCCCATTCTAAGCCTGGGAAAGCCCCGCAGAAGTTGGTGGGAAGTCCCAGGCAAGGTGTATTGGGGACCTTCCCTGACTCCCAATCCATCCCCCCACAGGTCCAGGGCGTAGGGGTGAAAGGTTGGCTAACCATGTCATCGTTGTTTAACAAAGAAGATGAAGACAAGCTGCTGCCACCGGAGCCCTGTGCTGACCAGTATGTGTGTGTGTGTGTGTGTGTGTGTGTGTGTGTGTGTATGGGTTGGTTCTGTTTGGTTCCTGGGGTCCCCTTCCATCAATCCTTTCAGGTCTGTGAGTCTTTCTAACCCCGGAGGGCCAGGAGGGGCACCCCCCCATCCATTTCCCTTAGCAAGGTAGATCCACATTGGTGTGTGGAAGGTTAAATTAGATCTCCCAAGGAATTCACCAGCTGTTGGGATTTAGGTGCTGGAACGTGTTTATGGGCTGTCTTGCCCACGCTGCACTGGGAAGGGCTGTGTTTTCAGAATCCAGACACAGAGAGAGCCTTCAAACATTTGCAAATTCCTGGACACTCCTTCGGAGATGAGAATCATTAGGTGTAGCCAGAGGCCTGGGGATCAGAGAACTCTGAGGCACACTAGTTTGGGAACCACACTTATTTCTTTATTTGGTTTTTTGAGCCAGGGTTTCACTATGTAGTTTAGGATGTCCTTAAACTCACTATGTAGTCCAAGCTGATCTAGGACTCCTGGTGATCCCTAGGTCTTTTATGTGAAGACATGAGGTGAGGACTGGGCCTCAGTCTACCCTCTGGCTCATCTCAGGCACTCCCTCCATCTCTACCCGTTAGGAAGTCCAGTCATAACCCCCCAACCGTTCCTTTCCTCCCCACCCCCACATTTCACCCTTCATCCTGCCCTCCCAGTTCCTAAGGCTTCCCAGACTGAGGTTCCAGCTTCAAGCCTTCTGTCCCTTCTTGACTGCCCATCTCCCACCTACCACCCCGAGTCCCCCATCTCCAGCTTTTCTAGGATTTCCTCCTCCCACCCCTTTTCTTTAGACTTGCTCCACCTGTTTTCTTCCCAAGCCCCTAGTCCGTCCTTCCTTCTCTCCAGGGACTGAGTCCCTTCCCAGCCTCCTCTCTTTTCCTTCCAGTAGGATCTAAACGGGCCTCTGTCACCCGAACCAGGCCCCCACTCCCCCAGCCCCACCCCAAACTTCGGCCCCGCCCCTCAGGGATCCTCTCCCAGCTTCCCAGACTCGGTGCCTGGGGCTCCCCTCTGCTGGCCTCGCCCCTCACTCTCAGGATTCCTTCTCAAGGCCCCCAGCTTCTTTTCTCGGGGATCCCCGTCCCCAGTCGCCAGGCCCGTCCCTTGTTCGACCCTGCCCCACCCTTGCCTTCTTTCCTAGAGCTCTGAACCCTCCCTTTGCCTCCAGGCTCTGACCTCGCCCTGACTCCCAGCACCGCGGCCGGTCCCTTGTCCCCGCCTCCCGTCCTTTGTCCCTCTCTGGGACTCCCCTGCTGGGCCGCTGACCCCGGCCCTCTCCGCAGCCCGCTGGCGGCGCGACCCCCCTCACAGGTGGCGGTGGCGGCGGAGGCGGAACCGCGTGGCCCGGGGTTCTGGGACGCATTCGCCAGCAGATGGCAGCAGCAGCAAGCAGCGGCGGCGTCCATGCTGCGCGGCACGGAGCCCAGTAGGGTTCCAGACCCCGAAGACCGGGACGAGGCTACCGAGGAGGCCGTCGAGCACGCCGAGCCGAGGGAAGCGGACCCCGCGGCCGGCTTCAAGTGGGGCTTCCTCACCCACAAACTGGCCGAGATGAGGGTGAAGGCCGCGCCCAAGGGCGACTAGCCAGCCGGCCGAACTGGAACCCACCTTTCCCTACCCCGTATAAAAAGTACCCCAATCCCAAAACCTCATGTGACCGCCTGATTTCATCCTGAAAACTGCAAAAACAACTTTGGGGGAGGCGCCCGCAGCGCGATCTTTCTGAGAGGTCCTTCTTCATCCCCCTATGAACGTGCGAGGGTGGGCAATGGCCAGAGAGAGCCCAGGTATCAACCTGGAAGCTGTTAGGTTTGAGGTAACAACTTTTCGGAAAGCTGGAGTACCCCAGAGGACAGGCTTCAAAGTCCTGTCTAGCCTTCTTTAGTTGAACAAACGTTACAGGTGGGCCTCCTCCCTACGTGGTCCCTGTATTATGGACAGGTCACATCCGAAGAGAATTCAGCATTAGCAGGTGCTATAGAATGTGACATTTTAGGGGCCTGAGTTCAATCCCTGGTTCCGGGGGAAAAAAAAAAGTAGAATGTGACATCTTAGACACAGAAATGGGGGTGCTGATAGGAAGTCAGGAGGTGAGGTGGACTGGGAATTCGGGAAGGCTTCTTGAAGAATATGTGATCCTAGAAAGGTGGACGGGCAAGTGAACAGAAGGGAGGGAACCTGGGCCAAAGGAGGAGAGGCGCCGACTTGTAAGGAAAACGGGCTGCTTTATGTATTTATGTATCCTCCAAGGAAAGGGAGACAGTAGCAAGATGGGAGGTTTCCAGCTGGAAAAATCCTGAACCTTTCTTTTAGTGACCTCAATTTCCGATCCTCCACGCCTCAAGCCTTCATACCTACTGACCACAAGGGAGCAGCAAAGCTCCGGGACAGGAGCCATTGAGAGGCCGGTGGACGCCGGATTCGGGCCAGACCCCTCCCTAGGTGTCCCCGAACGCTCTATTCAGTTTTTGGGTCCAGTTTGAATCGACCTGAGGACCAGTGGCAGAAAGGATCACAGCAGTGTTAGGATCACAGCAGTGCTAGTACTAAATCTGTAGTGGTTAAAGCAGCCATTCTTTATTGAGCACATTCCAGGCATATTGCCACGGGTATTACAATCATTTCAAAACATTTTAATTTACTATCCTGTCCCCTCGTTAATCACTGAGAGGTGCAACTTTGGTCCAGAGAGGCTGAGTACGTTGCCCAGGGTTTCTGCCTCAGACCCACACGCTTACCCTCCCAAACCTATTCGTCGCCCCCTTCCTCAACATCTACCCCACCCCACCCCAAACCAAAAGCATGGCCCATTTAATAACGTTTTAGCTTTATTCAGTAGGTTTGCGCATCTGTCACTTTAATCACCGTTCCCCGGCCCGTTCTCCGCAGGGGTCGCGAGGCCACTCCGTCCCTCTCTGCTGCCAGCGCTGGGAGGGACTGCGGGCTCCCAGGGTCCTACCTTCCCAAGGTTTGGAGAGGGCCACGGAGACCCGGAGGAAGGGCTTCCCCAAAGCGCGGTGCGCTGGTCCAGCCCCGCGCTCGAACGGTCCGGCAGGCGCGGTCACACCTCGGATTCGCGCGGCGGGCCGCGGGCGCGCTGGCAGCCGTACAGCCACTGGATGACGCGCGCGTTGCGCTCCACCACCGACACCGAGGGCCGCCCGTCCCGGGCAGAGCCGGCCGCCTCCGAGCAGGCGCCGCCAGCGGCCGCACTGTCCGGGCTGCCCGCACCGCCCTCGCTGGAGGTCCAGTCGCTAGTGTCTCCGGAGCCAGGCGGCGGCGAAGTTCCGGCCTTGGGGCTGGCGTCGGCGCCCCAGCTCTGCGGAGAGAAGCGCTCGGCGCCCAGCACCTCCACCAGCGCGCGCTCCAGGCCGCAGTAGTTGAAGAAGCGCTCCTTCTCGGACAGAGGCAGCGAGCACGTGGGGCACAGCGGCCGTTTGCCTGCAGTCTCGGGGACATCTTGGGGCGCCGCCCAAGCCCCAGGAGCTCCAGGTCGCTCCGTTGGGCCGGGGCTGCTCGGAGTAGTGTCCCGGGAGGCGCCCAGGAAGAGGCGGCGCACCAGCCCCTGGCCCTTGGCGTTCTCTTTGTTCACCGAAGCCTTGCAGTCCCGCTTCTGGCGGTAGAAGATGAGGGAGTCTGGCCTTGGTTGCCGCCTGCCGCTGCCCCGGCGGGCGGGTCCGGGCGTCCTGGGCGTTGCAGGGGGACCCAGCTCATTGCACACGTGCGGGGTGAGTGGTCCCGGGGTTCCCCGCAGAGCTGGCTCCTGGCGCCGCACTATCACCTGGTGTGTCTTGACGTACTTGGCTTTGTCAGCTTCCAGCCTCTCCACGGCGCTGGGGGTCCGTCCCCTGGATGGGGTGGAGGGAGAGGCCAGGAGCATCTTAGAGATGGACAGGATCGTGCCCCATAAACCGCTGGAGGTGCACTTAGGGAGTAGCCGCGAGCAATTGGCTGAAATTTCCTGAGAGCTGCAAAGAGAGGAATGGTTGGGAGATGTCCCTGCCCCTCTCAGGCATTCCTGGATATGGTATCAGCTAAGCACCCAGCCCCCATCTGTGTCAGCCAGGTCCATGACCAAGGAGGAGAGGTTCAGGCCATGCCTTCCCTTGTCCGTGAAAGGCATATATGGATGAGAAACATAGCCAGCCCTTTGTGGGTGCCCCAGTTTAGCCACAGGGCCATGCAAAGAGATGTTCACAAGCAGGACACTTGGAAAAGGAAGTGGGGCTGGTCCCAGCCCAGTTCCCAAAAGTAGTTTTAACCGGAAAAAATACCTCTTCCTAACCGAGCAGCTCCAAGCCCAAGACTATGAGTCTCCAGAGCCACAGGCTGGTCCAGCTGGCCCACCCTTCCTGCCCCAAGTCCGAGGTCAGGGCTATAACCACAGGGTAAGCCTCCAGTAATTGTAGCCACTGTCCCGCCCAGGTCTAGCGGGGCCATCCAGGAAGGAGATGGAGGTGGTCCCCAGGTCATGACAGCCAGTTCCTGCCAGCTACTCAGTGCCCTAGCCAAGGAGATTCCAGAAAACCAAGCTATAAACATCACCTTGTCTAGTCCTTGCATTTCCATGTCATTGACCAGGAACTGGCCCGGAGAGAAGGGCACTTGGTGGGCCCTTTCTGAGAATTAGGAATCTGGACAGGAACCCAAGGCTTTCTCCTTCTGGTCCAGAGCTAGCTCGGCATGGATCCCTCACAGGCCTATCAGGACTTCCCTCCAGTATTTTGCTTCTGTTTCTGCTACCGTAAAACCAAGTAATTACTGTTAGAGAGATGAGCCTGGAAGTTCTTTCCCAATAACCTGCATGCCCAGAAAGCTGCCCTCCGGCTCCCTGCTCCCGTCTCATCCTGAGACCTCTGACCCTTCTCCCTCTCTCCTACCTCCCTGGTGCTGGGGAAAGGGGCAAAGAGGGGCTGTAAATCAAGAGCTGACAGTTTTCTTGGCAGTTAAAAGAATGGGCCACCCACAAGGCTCAGCACATCCCTCCCCACCTCTGTCCCCTTATTCCCCCCATCCCCCAGCAGCTAAGAGGGTCACATTAGTTCTGGGAACTGAAGGAAACTTGGATCTGGAGGCAACAAAGGAACAGACTAGCCCAGGGTGTGTGTGTGTGTGTGTGTGTGTGTGTGTGTGTGTGTGTGTGTGTTGTGTCTCTCCCAGGCCTTGGGACAGGCAGACACCCTGCCAACCCAACCACCAGGCCCAACCTGGAGCTTTTCTCACACCTCCCCCACCATCTAGTTCACAGTGAGTCTGCTCAAAGGTGAGTGGAGCCCAGCCAGGAAGGACAGCCTGGCAGTGTCCCCTGCTCTTCTCCCAAGAACTGTACTGAGCAGTGGATATGGTTCCAAGGTCCCAGGAGGGAAGTGTGCTTGTCTGACCTCATGGGTCCTCTGCCCAACCCCCCAGCCCTGAGTGAGGAGGCTATAAAAAGTCCCTAAACATAAGGACCAAAATAAGCTGCTGCTTCTGTCTCATCCCTGCCTCTGGGCAGACTAATGCTAGACCACAGGCGGGCTCACCCTAGAAGCCTGGTGGCAGTCCCTGTCCCCTTCTTTCTTTTGCCTATCTTCTCCCAGTCCTGTCCCAACACCGCTGAGGCTTAGGTTCAGGTCATTGGATGGCTTCTATGTCAGTGGCCTGGGGCTAGGAGGCCCCTGGGTGCCCCCTACCCAGCACTGGGCACTGGTTTGCACTTACCTCTGGGTGGGGAGGCTGAATTGCAGGGGTCCCTGGGCAGGTCCAGACTGAGGGCAGGAGGGACAGCAGGGACCAGAAGTAACTTTGGTGGCAGCCAAACCTCACTCTCCACAGGAAAAGCTGAGACAGCCTCCACCCCCACCTCCCCAGATTAACCCTTCCGGACCCAGAACTGGCCTCAGTTAACTCCTGGACTGAAGTTCAGTGGGAGGACCTGGAGCTGGGTCCAGCTCCTTTAGATTACAGAGGCTCACAGGTCCTGCCAGATTAAATGGTTTTCTGTGGAGGCATTGTGAATTTGGGGGCAAAGCTGGGCTCCAAGCAATGTCTCCTGTCCCCTGGGTTTCCTTGAGGCCTGGGGGTGGGGTTGAGGAGGCTCTACAGAGCCCTAGCAGACGCTGTGACTATGAGCTGGAAGGCAGAGCACGGAGCAGGGCTCTAGCCCACTTGCTTTAATCCCTCTGTGGCAGGTTTAGGCCTGGCCTGGCCTGGCTTTTTGGTGATATAGCAAAGCCTGCTCTTCCCTAGGGGTGAGTCCAAGCACCCAAAGCCCTAGGTTGGAGCCCTGGTGCTGCAGATAGGGGGGTGAGCCTGTCCAAACAAAACCCAACCTTTGTGTAGGGTTCCCTGATGGCAAGTGGGCCTGCTGGCTGGGAAGAGGGTGATGAGGGAGGTTTCTGGGCCCAAACCTCAATCCTTTGGCCTCCTTCCTCCTCTTACCACACATGGGGACTCCTAGAGTGAGGACAGTCTCTTCTGGGAGGATTTTCATCTCCAGGAGAAGCCTTACCCCACAGGTGAGCTCCCCCACCTGCCCGAAGTTACATGGCTTCCAGTATCCAAGATGTAAACCCAGGGCTCCTCCCAAGGGGTCTCTAGCTACTCACTTGGCTCAAGTCCTCTCCCACTTCTAGCACTTTTTAATGCTTTCCCAGCATGGTCACTTCTGTGTTCTCAGATTTCCTTTGGCCTTTGGCCTTCCGGTGTGGATCTGGGCAAAGCAGGGATAATAGCTCCACTCCATGGGCAAGGAAATGGACAGAGACAGGAGACCCCAGAGCCCACTTCTAAAATCTTTTTTTTTTTTTTTTTTTGCCTGTCAGCAAGGTAATGACTGTGACAACCCAAAGGCCATCTGCTAAGACATTGTTACCTTACCTAGTATAAGAGAGACTTTTTTTGAGGCAAAGTCTATGTAGTTTAAGGCTGGCTTTAAACTCACTATGTAGCCGAGGCTGGCCTCAAACTCAAACTCAGAGCCATCCTCCTGCTTCAGCCTTCCAAGTGCTGGAATTATAAGCATGTGCAACCACATCTGACTTTTTTTTTTTTTTTGTCTTGTTTTTGTCCATGGTGGTGCTATATTATTCCAGCACTTTACAAGAAGTTTTCAGGCACATTGTCAAAATTAATCTTAATATTAAAAAAAATTAATCCTGATGACAATCTTTGAGGAGGAGGCAGAGGAAGAGGAGGAGGTTTTATTATTTCTTCCATTTGCAGCTGAAAAGACTGAGGCTTGGACTTACCCAAGCTCACACAATGAGGGACAATAGCTAACTTTTACTGAGAGGTTACTATATGCTGGGCGCTGTTCCAAGGGCTCTGCTCAATGATAAGCATAGTTAGTCTTAAGAAGGAGCCAGTGAAATGGTTCTTTCAGTCTTAATTTCACAGGCATAGGCGGGGTTGCCAGCCAGTAACTCTGAGGGCCAGGCAGGAAGGGGTTAAGCTGGGGAGGCCAGGCTGGGCCCAGCTGGGGTGCTGTCAATGGCAGGAAACCTGGCCTGCCAGGGGGAGGATGGGGCTGTGGTGTCTGACTGAAGCAACCCCCATCTCCTTTGGTCTTAAAGGATCATCCGGGCTGGGCTTCACAGCTCTGTTCTGGGATCAAGGACACACACTAGGCCTTACAAAGAACGGGGTGGGGATCCAGAGGGCAATACAGGTGCTGCCCTGAGGAGTGACTTGCCCTCAACCTCTCAGAAGTGACCCTGGCTTGCGTCACAATGCTCGCTGCCCACTCTGGGAGCCCAGGAAGCACAGTCGGCATGGCCCGAGGGGGTTTCTTGGTGGTAGGGAGGGAAGAAAGGGCTGGAGGGCTTTGGTCCCAGCAGTCTTGTCTGAGGGGGACATACCTGTCCTGGGATGCAAAGGACAGACACAGATGTTAGACCACACATGCAGAACCCCATCTGGGGAGAGAGGTGGACGGGAGTGGCTTTCTGTTGAGGGCAAGCTGCCAAGGGGCTGAGCTTGAGGGGTGAGGTGGTCCATCAGCCTGGCTTGCCATGAACTGGAGAATTGGATCGTGGCTTTCTGGTCATGGGTCCCCAGAGAGATTCTTTTTTATAAATCTTTTTTTTTTTTTTTTTCAGAACCGGGGATTGAACTCAGGCCCTTGAGCTTGCCGGGGAGATTCTTTTTTTTTGGTGGAATTTGGGATTGAACTCAGGCCCTTGCACTTGCCAGGCAAGCGCTTATTCTACAGAGCTACCTCCCCGGCCCGCCGGGGAGATTCTTAAAGTGACTCCTTCCTGTGCTAGAGCCAGGACTTGGAGAGCGGGGAGGCCAAGTCTGAGGAATGTTTCCTTCCTATTTCCAACCTCATTCCTGTTACCTTGTTCAGTCGGGAATGGGCCTGAGTCAGAACCAGCTCCTTTGGAGAGAAAGTGATGGGAGGATGGAGTGTGGGCTCTGGCCACATCCCAAACAGTGAGCCCTGCAGGGAGGCTCTTCAGATCTGCTCTGACCCCATGTACGACCCCTGCACTGTCACTGAGGAGACACGTCCCTCCCCACCCACAGCCCTCTACCCCTCAGCCCTGCCTCTGGTTCTAATCCTGGACCTCCAACTCGCTGGCTGTGTGGCCTCTGCCAAGAAGGTACCTCTCCGAGTGTCCTTCCATGTCATGGAAGTAAGGATGCCTCCCTCATGGGTGGCGGAAGGCTGAAAAAGCACCAGCACCCCTGAGTTCTCTGGAGGAGTTGGATTTATCTGGCTTTGCAGCCTTCTCCTTGAACCAATACCTTCTGGACACTTCGGGGTAAAATGGGTTTTCCAGCCATCAGCTGCTCAGGATAAATCACTTGGAACACCTGTGCTGTGCAGGGGATGGGGGGCTCGGGGGTGGGGGGTGGCAGAGGGGACAGAGGGCTTGGGTGCAGGAGCCCCGCCCGGGGATGCGGCAGCGGTGGGAAGGGCCCGTCAGAGTGGAAAGGACCATGGCAGAAAGATGAACAAAGGGCCAGGGACATAGTTTAGTAGAATAAGTGCTTGCCTGGCAAGTGCAAGGGCCTGAGTTCAATCCCCAGTTCCGCCCCCACCCCTCCCAAAAAGGAAAGATGAACAAAGCAGATGCTGTGGGGAGGATGGGGGTGTGTGATTCGTTCTGCTGGGGTGGAAGCTTCAAAGAGCCAGGAACTTCAGCAGGGGCTGCAGGGCATTTGGGATCCGGTTGAGTACAGGGGAGCTCTGGGCTAAGAAGACAGCAGGGGTCAGAGTGGGGGGTGGGGACAAGAGGCTCCAGTGGGACTGCTGGGGAAGCTTGAGAAAGCTGAGCGAGAAGAGGAGTTGCGGGTGTAGGGGGGCTGCAGAGGGGGCTCCCATAGGGGCTGGGCCGACTGGCCTCCTGGGAGCCTCGCGGAGTTTAGAGCAGCAGCTCCCTCTAATTCAGGCTCTTTCCGTTTTGGGAAAGAGCCTCAGCCACAACAATAGCCTGGCTGCAGCACCTGCCCCCCTCTGAGGTCGGTGGTTCTGGCAGAGCCAGGCGCCAGTGCTGTGGTCTGGGGCTCAATAGGGGAGGAGAGCGGCGGGGGCACGGGAGGTGCCAGGAAACTTTTTTTTTTTTTTTTTTTTTAGCACCTACATGTTGCTAGTGAACTAAGTGAATAAACAAACATGAAGATTCGTATTCTGAAATTCTGAGAACTTATTGACACTGCGTGTGGTTATCCCCCTCCACTTTTTTTTTTTTTTTTTTTAATTTGGAGACGGGCTCACTAAATTATCCAGGTTGGCCTTGAGCTTGCTATC